GCCGGTATCAGTCATTAGTCTAGGACATAGTTAACTATAATGATAAAACGTAACTCTACCACTTTACTACCGCCGGTAACAGTCATTAGTCTAGGACATAGTTAACTATAATGATAAAACGTAACTCTACACCAACTTTACTACCGCCGGTAACAGTCATTAGTCTAGGACATAGTTAACTATAATGATAAAACGTAACTCTACACCAACTTTACTACCGCCGGTAACAGTCATTAGTCTAGGACATAGTTAACTATAATGATAAAACGTAACTCTACACCAACTTTACTACCGCCGGTAACAGTCATTAGTCTAGGACATAGTTAACTATAATGATAAAACGTAACTCTACACCAACTTTACTACCGCCGGTAACAGTCATTAGTCTAGGACATAGTTAACTATAATGATAAAACGTAACTCTACACCAACTTTACTACCGCCGGTAACAGTCATTAGTCTAGGACATAGTTAACTATAATGATAAAACGTAACTCTACCACTTTACTACCGCCGGTAACAGTCATTAGTCTAGGACATAGTTAACTATAATGATAAAACGTAACTCTACACCAACTTTACTACCGCCGGTAACAGTCATTAGTCTAGGACATAGTTAACTATAATGATAAAACGTAACTCTACACCAACTTTACTACCGCCGGTAACAGTCATTAGTCTAGGACATAGTTAACTATAATGATAAAACGTAACTCTACACCAACTTTACTACCGCCGGTAACAGTCATTAGTCTCGGACATAGTTAACTATAATGATAAAACGTAACTCTACACCAACTTTACTACCGCCGGTAACAGTCATTAGTCTAGGACATAGTTAACTATAATGATAAAACGTAACTCTACACCAACTTTACTACCGCCGGTAACAGTCATTAGTCTAGGACATAGTTAACTATAATGATAAAACGTAACTCTACACCAACTTTACTACCGCCGGTAACAGTCATTAGTCTCGGACATAGTTAACTATAATGATAAAACGTAACTCTACACCAACTTTACTACCGCCGGTAACAGTCATTAGTCTAGGACATAGTTAACTATAATGATAAAACGTAACTCTACACCAACTTTACTACCGCCGGTAACAGTCATTAGTCTAGGACATAGTTAACTATAATGATAAAACGTAACTCTACACCAACTTTACTACCGCCGGTAACAGTCATTAGTCTAGGACATAGTTAACTATAATGATAAAACGTAACTCTACACCAACTTTACTACCGCCGGTAACAGTCATTAGCCTAGGACATAGTTAACTATAATGATAAAACGTAACTCTACACCAACTTTACTACCGCCGGTAACAGTCATTAGTCTAGGACATAGTTAACTATAATGATAAAACGTAACTCTACACCAACTTTACTACCGCCGGTAACAGTCATTAGTCTAGGACATAGTTAACTATAATGATAAAACGTAACTCTACACCAACTTTACTACCGCCGGTAACAGAGTCATTAGTCTAGGACATAGTTAACTATAATGATAAAACGTAACTCTACACCAACTTTACTACCGCCGGTAACAGTCATTAGTCTAGGACATAGTTAACTATAATGATAAAACGTAACTCTACACCAACTTTACTACCGCCGGTAACAGTCATTAGTCTAGGACATAGTTAACTATAATGATAAAACGTAACTCTACACCAACTTTACTACCGCCGGTAACAGTCATTAGTCTAGGACATAGTTAACTATAATGATAAAACGTAACTCTACACCAACTTTACTACCGCCGGTAACAGTCATTAGTCTAGGACATAGTTAACTATAATGATAAAACGTAACTCTACACCAACTTTACTACCGCCGGTAACAGTCATTAGTCTAGGACATAGTTAACTATAATGATAAAACGTAACTCTACACCAACTTTACTACCGCCGGTAACAGTCATTAGTCTAGGACATAGTTAACTATAATGATAAAACGTAACTCTACACCAACTTTACTACCGCCGGTAACAGTCATTAGTCTAGGACATAGTTAACTATAATGATAAAACGTAACTCTACACCAACTTTACTACCGCCGGTAACAGTCATTAGTCTAGGACATAGTTAACTATAATGATAAAACGTAACTCTACACCAACTTTACTACCGCCGGTAACAGTCATTAGTCTAGGACATAGTTAACTATAATGATAAAACGTAACTCTACACCAACTTTACTACCGCCGGTAACAGTCATTAGTCTAGGACATAGTTAACTATAATGATAAAACGTAAGTAACTCTACACCAACTTTACTACCGCCGGTAACAGACATAGTTAACTATAATGATTACCACGGTAACAGTCATTAGGACATAGTTAAATGATAAAACGTAACTCTTACTTTACTACCGCCGGTAACAGTCATTACAGTAACTATAATGATAAAACGTAACTCTACACCAACTTTACTACCGCCTTTATTTGTCATTAGCCTAGGACATAGTTAACTATAATGATAAAACGTAACTCTACAACTTTACTACCGCCGGTAACAGTCATTAGTCTAGGACATAGTTAACTATAATGATAAAACGTAACTCTACACCAACTTTACTACCGCCGGTAACAGTCATTAGTCTAGGACATAGTTAACTATAATGATAAAACGTAACTCTACACCAACTTTACTACCGCCGGTAACAGTCATTAGTCTAGGACATAGTTAACTATAATGATAAAACGTAACTCTACACCAACTTTACTACCGCCGGTAACAGTCATTAGTCTAGGACATAGTTAACTATAATGATAAAACGTAACTCTACAGTCATTAGTCTAGGACATAGTTAACTATAATGATAAAACTACCGCCGGTACCGCCGGTAACAGTCATTAGTCTCGGACATAGTTAACTATAATGATAAAACGTAACTCTACACCAACTTTACTACCGCCGGTAACAGTCATTAGTCTAGGACATAGTTAACTATAATGATAAAACGTAACTCTACACCAACTTTACTACCGCCGGTAACAGTCATTAGTCTAGGACATAGTTAACTATAATGATAAAACGTAACTCTACACCAACTTTACTACCGCCGGTAACAGTCATTAGTCTAGGACATAGTTAACTATAATGATAAAACGTAACTCTACACCAACTTTACTACCGCCGGTAACAGTCATTAGTCTAGGACATAGTTAACTATAATGATAAAACGTAACTCTACACCAACTTTACTACCGCCGGTAACAGTCATTAGTCTAGGACATAGTTAACTATAATGATAAAACGTAACTCTACACCAACTTTACTACCGCCGGTAACAGTCATTAGTCTAGGACATAGTTAACTATAATGATAAAACGTAACTCTACACCAACTTTACTACCGCCGGTAACAGTCATTAGTCTAGGACATAGTTAACTATAATGATAAAACGTAACTCTACACCAACTTTACTACCGCCGGTAACAGTCATTAGTCTAGGACATAGTTAACTATAATGATAAAACGTAACTCTACACCAACTTTACTACCGCCGGTAACAGTCATTAGTCTAGGACATAGTTAACTATAATGATAAAACGTAACTCTACACCAACTTTACTACCGCCGGTAACAGAGTCATTAGTCTCGGACATAGTTAACTATAATGATAAAACGTAACTCTACACCAACTTTACTACCGCCGGTAACAGTCATTAGTCTAGGACATAGTTAACTATAATGATAAAACGTAACTCTACACCAACTTTACTACCGCCGGTAACAGTCATTAGTCTAGGACATAGTTAACTATAATGATAAAACGTAACTCTACACCAACTTTACTACCGCCGGTAACAGTCATTAGCCTAGGACATAGTTATCTGCAGGCCCATGTTTACCAACCCAAATGCTGATTACGATAAACAATTGTTGGTGAAAAAAAAAAAATGTGAATCAAACAGAATTGGAAACATTCTTTATAATTTTACACCTGGTTGTTTGTTGAGGAAGTCTAGATTGAAGTGTTATCAATGTTAATTTATGCCTCTAACGCTCTGTGGTTTTTTTTAACAGCAGCAATTTTTAATTTTATCACGTGGCTCTGGTTAATTTTAACTAGCATTTGAGCACAAGGGTCAGATTATTTATATAGTTATGACACGGCTTTTAGCGTGAAGAAATAATTGTCTCACAAGTTATAGCGAATAAAATCAATGGGTGTAGTATTTGGTCCGAAGGCAACCAGGAACGGTGTCTAAATATGACAGGAAATTTAACCTGGAGAAAACCAGGGCCCGTAACCATGAAACCGTTCTCATGCTCAAGCATGAATTTTGTGTTCAAGTCTTATGTCTTGTTTAAGTTAAAATTAAGAGATAAGACTGATTTTGGCAAAGATTTTAAACAAATTTTAAAAGGACTTTAAGTCAAAGTTATATTCAATATTTATATCTGACATTTGTATTATTTTATATGATTTAAGCGAATTATAATAAAGTCTGCTTGAGCATGAGAATGGTTTTATTAATAGGTAAATCTTTATCCAAATTAGGTACATATTCTTAATGTTCACATGTTAAACTCACCGAAGAGTTCTAAAAATACGAAACTATCAACTCCTTCCGCTACTGATCTTTTTAGGTGTACAGTGATGTTCTGTTCTGATATCATTGTAGAGTAACGTTAGCAATAGCATGTCCGATTCAACATAAACTAGATATCAGAAGTCGATAAGTGACTTCCGGTTTTCATTCGCCCCCCGCAAAGTCAACATTTACGGTCACAATTCCGGAACCGGAACCTTTGAGTACCTCTTCAAGATTCGATATGTCAATATTTCCTTTGTTGATACCTGTCCTAATTTTATCGAATTTGAATTGGATTGAAGATTTTGTTGAAATCATGACTCATGAAAAAGTACCAGGCGTTTCGGAAGGGGAAGAGGAAAATTCACGAAAGGTCAAGAACTTTGGTGTTTTCAGTGAACTACTAAGTAAAAAATGATAGTGAATCCTATTGTTCTTGCAGACCCAGCCACTGTCTATTAAGGACGGACAATCATTAATAGACAAGATGAGAGTAATGAGAGCTCTGGCAGGGATAGAAAGACGCATGGAAGAATTACATGGACTGAAACAGGTAAATAAACAGATAAGTTGAATAATTTCAATGATGATTGAAAGGTTGTGAGCCTTGTATTGAAGAAACTAAGCAGGGATGTCCATTTTCAGCTCTACTATTCCCTGACTATTTAGGGATGTGTACCAAAGGACTGGTGTCATTTGGTGAGTTTATGTCGAAGAGGTAGCACTCTAAAGTTAACGAGGCAGATGACGTTTGCAAAATGGACAAAATTGCCGAAAGAGCAGAGATTCAATATTTGCATAAGAAAAGACTAGTCCCTTCATATGCTACAGTGTAAAGGTGGTGGATGGATTGAATCGTGGCAGCCTTGAGGATGACGTCTGTACTGGATGGCCTCTCACTGTTACAACCCCAAAAATCGCAGATAAATTCCGTGATATTGTTATGATCGACAGGCTGGAAAGGTAATGACCGCGGTTGTATGGTATAGTGATGGTATCCTAATGGTAGATTATCTGCAAAAGGGACAAACAATCAAAGGTACATATCACGCATCACTTCTCATGCAGTTAAGAGAAAATAATAAACGCAAACAGAAACTCAGGAAAGGTGTGTTGTTCCACCAGGACAATGTCCCTTTTCACAAGTCTGTCATCGCCATGGCTGCCATTAACGATTGTGCCTTTGAATTAACTGAGCATCCGCCTTTTTGCCTGATCTCGCTCAATAAGACTTTCATCTATTTCCAAAACTGAAAAGGGCCATTTCCGGTACCCACTTCCGGTCAGATGATGACGTTATTCATGCAGTGGAGGACCTTTTGAACGGCCAAGAAAAGCTGTTCTTTAACAGTGGCAGTGAGTCCGTTAAACATCGCTGGCAAAAGTGTTTAGATACCGAAGGGGATTATGTTGAAAAATAATGCAATATGTCGGTCAAAAGTCAAACTATTTAATATAAGGCTCATAACATATCAATCGGCCATCCTATGTTACCAATTACAATTTTAAATAATAACAGAAATTGTATGCTTATTATAGCAAATGAGAAAGATATACTGTTGATATATCAAACATGGAGGTATGGTAAGATAACTAAGATAAATATCAGTAACTTGATAGATAAATCATTCATTGTATCAAGTCATGCGTTTTAATGTGATATTGGTTGTATTACACAATGTAATTCTACCACGAAATATGTAGCTCACTCTAAAACAGCCGAAAAGTTCCAATCCACCAACTCTCTGTTCGACAGCCAGAACATAGGAACTTGATGAGTACAGTTAACTATGTTTACGAGATGGACATAATATTGACCCCACAACAAGCAGAGACGATCTACGAACACGAAAAAATCCGCCAAAAACGCAAGATGTCTGCAAGCATGACGAGTCTTTGGGAAATGCCTATTTACTACTACTACGGTGGCCAACACAGTAAGTATTCCTTTTCATGTTTGGAGATGTACGCACTGCTAGTCACGTGTCATTATGACGTATTCCTTGTCACGTGTATTGATGTACATGTTCCTTGTCACGTGTCTTGATGTACGTATCCCTTGTCATATGTCTTGATGTTCCTTGTCACGTTTCTATATGCGCGTATTACTTGTCACGTGTATTGATGTACGCATTCCTTGTCACGTGTATTGATGTACGCATTCCTTGTCACGTGTATTGATGTAAGCATTCCTTGTCACGTGTATTTATGTACGCATTCCTTGTCACGTGTATTGATGTACGCATTCCTTGTCACGTGTATTGATGTACGCATTCCTTGTCACGTGTATTGATGTACACATTCCTTGTCACGTGTATTGATGTACACATTCCTTGTCACGTGTATTGATGTACACATTCCTTGTCATGTGCCCTGTTGTACTTTTATTTTATTCTGTTCAGAAACTATAAACATTGAACTATTATCCCTGTTATTTGTCTGATTAGCTGCTTGAAGATGTTCCTTTTCCTAGCCAAATGTTTGATTTTTTTTCCAAGTTTCGTTACATCTCTCCCTCGTTATGCATCAGTGATTCTGAATCTTTTAGTTATTTCTTGTCCAGGCCATAACTCTAAATCGTTAAAGACATTTTGGCGAAACTTGCAGGATATGTGTACCATCTAAAATCGATGTGTAGTGCACTGTTGTCGGTTTACTGTGACCTTGACCTTAAGGTCAAGAGCAAAAGAATTCTGAAGATTCCAATCATTTACTAATTACAACAGTATTTTCTTTTTCTTCCATGCCCATCCTAAGACAAAAATGTTGATATATTTACTTATAAGGAGACACTACTTTTTGCTAACTTTAACTTTAATTTTATCTAGTTATCATTATATGAAATTCTTGTCTCAGCATTTTCCAGATTCTAATCCTGTGTTTTCTTTGTAGCGCCTCAGATGGAGCAGAATGTTGAAAGTGTAATAGCAGAATGGGAAGATCTCACGTGTCTAAACTTCAACAGATCGTCAGGTCCTGTCACGTGGGAGCAGGGGAACCGGAACAACGTCACAATCGAGTTCACACCGAACGGGTATTGGACTAGCACGATCTTCAAATCTTTTTAGATCATTTCTAAATAATTTTTTTATTTCTTAAATAGCTTTATCTGTTTTCATTTGACTTTCTTTCTTTGGTTGTTTTCAATTTCCTATCTTTTTTTAATAGTTATACAAACTTAGAAAATTCTCTCCACTTAACACATTAGCGTATGTAAGTGGGATATAAACATTACAGTATTATATAACTAGATCATATGTACAAGCTTATATCTGAGTAGATATTTTAGTATATGTTATAGTCGTGTTTTCAAGGATTACACAACTCATGAAAACATGAAATACATTACATACGATTAAAATATAGTTCCATAATAATTTATAAATGACATAATACTTTACATTCACATGAAATTACCAAATTAATGACATTCATTAATAAACAATATATGATGAAACAGATGCTACAGTGTACCTACCACTTCTACAAGAAGCGGCTTTCCTCACACAGATGTGATGTATAACATATCTACTTCAGATATGTGAGGTCAAAAACACTTTTCAGTACTGTGTCCTGTACAAATAAGATACGATTAGTACAATGTGGAACATTATTCGTTTAAATCATCTTTATAGTTTGAAATATCAACCCAAAATCAGGACAATGGCTACGTCCAAAAATACACTTTACTCTAAAATATACAGTTATCTCAGACATTATCCTTATTAAACCAATTAAAAATATCACTTTTCCAATATCACTTATTATATCAAACTAATATTTTTATTCAGGTACTTGCGTTATATTCTAATGTCTCACTCAAATAAAAAATACCAAGATCAAAGGAATACGTCCGGTCATTACGACGCGCTGACCACCACTGGCCAACTCGCGCCAAAACTAACTTAAACAATGACCACATCAAAAATAGACAATCACGTGACCTAGCCAAACAGGTTTACACCACATCACGTGACTCCTACACAACACTCACTCACAGACACACTTACGAAGCGTGAGATAAAAGTAATCCAACCGGATCGGAACTCGACGCGGCAAACGGACGCGTATAAAACAGATAAAATAGAGACATAGGGAATTGTAAATATAACAAAATACATGATAAAATCCACACTATCACATATAGGTAATATATATCGATGTAAATATGTACAGTGTTTTCCAGGTGCTGGTCCTATGTAGGGAAGAAAGAGAATGCTAACAATGTCCAAAAGGTGTCTGTGGATGGCTGTGTCTACGTAAGTGTGATATTATTACAAAATTCCACGAATCGTTTCATCAGCATACGATATTATTATCTATATCGACATCGTTAATTATAATGCCTAAATGTCTATTTCTGTTTGTTTTAGAGAGGACGAATTGCTCACGAGCTAGGTCACGTAATTGGATTTTGGCACGAGCAGGCACGACCAGACAGAGACGACCACGTGATTATCGAGGCACCAAACATTATGGATAACAAACATGGGGACTTCGTCCGGCTGTCGTGGCAGGATATCATGGACAAAGGTGTACCTTATGACGTCGGTTCAGTGATGCACTATGGCTCTACGGTAAGTCCCGAGAGGTTTAATCTGGCGGTTCAGTGATGCACTATGGCTCTACGGTAAGTTCCGAGAGGTTTAATCTGGCGGTTCAGTAATGCACTATGGGTCCACGGTAAGTCCCGAGAGGTTTAATCTGGCGGTTCAGTAATGCACTATGGCTCTACGGTAAGTCCCGAGAGGTTTAATCTGGCGGTTCAGTGATGCACTATGGCTCTACGGTAAGTTCCGAGAGGTTTAATCTGGCGGTTCAGTAATGCACTATGGGTCCACGGTAAGTCCCGAGAGGTTTAATCTGGCGGTTCAGTAATGCACTATGTCTCCACGATAAGTCCCGAGAGGTTTAATCTGGCGGTTCAGTAATGCACTATGGCTCTACGGTAAGTCCCGAGAGGTTTAATCTGGCGGTTCATTAATGCACTATGGGTCTACGGTAAGTCCCGAGAGGTTTGATCTGGCGGTTCAGTGATACGCTATGAGTCCACGGTAAGTCCCGAGAGGTTTGATCTGGCGGTTCAGTGATACGCTATGGGTCCACGGTAAGTCCCGAGAGGTTTGATCTGGCGGTTCAGTGATACGCTATGGGTCCACGGTAAGTCCCGAGAGGTTTGATCTGGCGGTTCAGTGATACGCTATGAGTCCACGGTAAGTCCCGAGAGGTTTGATCTGGCGGTTCAGTGATACGCTATGGGTCCACGGTAAGTCCCGAGAGGTTTGATCTGGCGGTTCAGTGATACGCTATGGGTCCACGGTAAGTCCCGACAGGTTTGATCTGGCGGTTCAGTGATACGCTATGGGTCCACGGTAAGTCCCGAGAGGTTTGATCTGGCGGTTCAGTGATACGCTATGGGTCCACGGTAAGTCCCGAGAGGTTTGATCTGGCGGTTCAGTGATACGCTATGGGTCCACGGTAAGTCCCGAGAGGTTTGATCTGGCGGTTCAGTGATACGCTATGGGTCCACGATAAGTCCCGAGAGGTTTGATCTGGCGGTTCAGTGATACGCTATGGGTCCACGATAAGTCCCGAGAGGTTTAATCAGAAACTCTCTGTATTCAACATTTTATTTACATATATTATAAACTTATTTGAATGTTGACAAGGTTCAGAATAAAGATTCGTTCTTGACTTTTCTTGAAATCTCAATTCTTGAAAAAATGACATGTACTTATTTATTGGAATAAGTACACCTCCTTATTTAGTATTTGACCAATCAGGTTATCTTTCATATTCTAAATTTAGATTAAAGGTTATAATATCCATTGTTTGAAATTACATTGATGTCGCTACAAGCAATTGAACCGATAAATTCTGTTCTATACCTTTCAAACATGTTGCGTACTAAACTGTACACAGCTTGTACTGAAATCATAATGATATCTAATTATGTTGTTGGGTGCCGTGCCATCAACAATCACCTGAATATATTGTACTATACAACATATATTGAGTAGTACAAAGAGAATATACTCATCAAATTATTTAGCAATATATATTGATTGATTTTAAATCAATAGTTAAGGTAGCTGGTTTACCTGTAGGAGTAAGGAGAACAAACTTGTAGGAAACAGATTTCGTGTTTCTTTTTTATTCTTGTTTTTTGCCAATATGTTTGTTTATTATAATTTGTGGAGAGGTCTAAAATAATCATCTAACGATATCAAACAATATATATGTATTTGTTATGTTACTGTACTGTATGTACTGTTAGAGTTACTTCCCCTGAAGTTTTATCAGTAAAACTAGGCTGAGGAAATGTTTTAAGTTTAGATTTTTTTTACATACATGATGGTAAACAATATCACTGCTGAGATTGATTGGCGATTTGATTTCAGTACTTTTTTATAATTTCATCGGAATTAGTGTAAATTCAATTTTTTTATCATTGTTTAAGAATCATGAACAATATATAGTGTACCAATCCCTCACAGAATCGTCCAAATCAGTTTATGGTGGTTCTGTGGTAAATCCATTAGCACGCTATCCATCCTGGCAAAACAAGACTGATTAATATAAGTTAAACAACCTGTTTCACATCTGCTGTAAAATAGATTCTTTAATTTGTTTAATTTGTTGTTAAAAAGTTTAATTTGATTTAAAAGCGGCTTTTGAAAATTTAAAAGAAAAGTACCAACATTTACTCGGAGACCCTTTTAAAAAGAATAGAGAGAATAATATAATGTATTCCGGAATAGTAAGCGTCTTTTGCTTCATTACCGACACCCACCATGTAACCATCCTACCCTGAGTCGTTGAGTTTTGCTTATTTGCGTGTTAAAATTTTACTCAGATTCGCAAAGGTTGTCGTATCTTGTATCTTCAATGATATTTAGAGCCTGAAGTGTGTTTTTCGTCCTTTTAAAGTTTGTTAAGTCCTCAAATGTGGGGATCTAGAACGGAACTGATAGAAATATAATATCAAGGATGTACTCGGCTCATAATTCAATTATGTCCGTATGTTTTTAATTATCGGTTTTATTAAAAGACTAATTTTGCTATAGGTTTATCACTTTTGTTATAAATAAGTTTTTAATGCTACACTTTGTATGATCTGTAGTGAAATATATTGTAAAGCTGAACTACTATAGCGTGACTGACATTTTACGTCACTCTATGAGCTACCAACAATGGAGATTTCTTTTAATTTCTATTAAAAATTCAACAGAAACGTTAAGTTAAGCAATTTTTTCGTTATATTTTACACTAGGCGTTTTCCAAGGCTGGGAATCCAACTGTAGTTGCAAGAAAATCAAATTTACAACGGGCATTAGGTCAACGTCACGGACTTTCCTTCTATGACGTCAAACTTGCAAATTCTGTATACTGTTCAGGTAAGAATTTAATTTCATATAAATATGTTGACCACTAATGACGAAATCGATTATTACACCACCACCACCACCACCACCACCACCACACTCCACCACCACCGCCACCACCACTCCCAAACTCCCCCACACTCCACCACCAGGGTCACACCAAACCACCACCAGGGTCACACCAAACCACCACCACCGTCACACCCCACCACCACCACCACCACCACCACCGACGACGACCGCGACGAATACAATCGAAAACACCGACATGTAGATAGAAATTTAATTCAAACTCAAATTCATTAAAACTAGACCAAAAAAATGAACAAGAGGATTACACGGAGACCTTTGACAAATTGACGGAAAATAAGACCAGGTGTTTTGAAAGGGTTAGCGTCCTAAGATTTATCGGCCACAACCATAAGACTTTATATTTTCGACAGGCAAGAAAATCAAAATTAGAAAATAAAATAATGTATGATCGAAACAATATCATCGCAGCATTACAAGAGAAACAGGACCAGGTGTTTCGTAAGGGTAAGTGTTCTCAGTGCAATGCTTTTGGTATTTTCTCGTTGCTGCGAAACATATTTTGAATGCCACTCAAACACACATAAAATACTGAGGACGCTGCGGTTTATATTGTATAGTGTGCATTTTATTTTTCAATATTACGATGTCTAAATAACGACTCATAAAGAACATGAAGTTTTTTTGTTGGAGAATATAGATATCGTTTGATTGTTTTCGCTTCTTTGTTTTACCCTGCCATTAACTTGTCGGTCTTTACATTAAATTATAGACATATTTGTCAATCCTGCGTTTAAGACTAAATTTTGTCTTTGTTCTGACGTGTGCTGATAATATAAAGAGGAACTTGCTTTGAACAAATTAATGAATTTCGCAATTATTCTCATAATTCATGTCCAGTGTACGTAATAGATGTATAGCACAAACTATTGCGGGGCATTTTGTCACTCTAAAACAAGACAAAATAAACACACCACTTACTCTATCAATTGAAGAGAAGTTTTGATCGATAATTGCGCAATTGAACCATATCAAATATATAAACAAATTAAAATAAATAAAAAAAAATTTTCAGATTGTTGTAGTGGTATTCACTTAGCAAAGCCATGCAAAAATGGTGGCTATCAGGACCCGAAGAAATGTACCAGCTGTAGGTGTCCAGAGGGACTATCCGGGCACTTTTGTGAGACATCAGCTCCACCTGTCGGACGTAAGTTCAAATCTTATATGCTTATAAAAAAAAATAGTGACGTTTTGTCGACTACACGGTCACCTTCATTTTTAATCACAACCAGTAGAAGATTAGCGTGTGATGTTTCGATGACTACATCTTCATCAGACAAGTGACCAGTGTGGAGAGTACTAGCACTGACATACTAGTGTACGATATCTACACGGTCACCATCATCAGACAAGTGACCAGTGTGGAGGGTACTAGCACTTACATACTAGTGTACGAGATGGTATGGAATCAACCGACGTTTTCGGCTGTACTATAATCCTTTGTATAGTAAGGTAGAAAATAATGTGACGAGATGGTTAACAAATCATAGACCAAAATTACGCAAGATGGTAACAATGTACTGAAGTCAATTCGGCTACGCTTTGTTTAACACTTGTCATTTGTCGATGAAGGTGATCGTGTTGTCATGGTAACGTCACACTGTAATCTTTCTTTTTTGTATAAAACTTCTATTCTATTGACATAACCAGCTGAAGAAAATATTCTGAAGTAAAATTTTTACTCGCGTGACAGTTATTTTATAATATGATCTATAAAATGGGCTTGTTGGATGTGAACGTATTTTTTTTCAGTGTCTTGTGGCGGGGATATTAATGTTACATCAACCGTGACAACGATAGGACATCTTCATGCTTTCAATGAAGGACATCAGTGTAATTGGTATCTCAGGGTGAGTATGTTAAATGGACAGCATTAATGACATCAGCTGAACAAAGAACCGATATTTACAGATGGCTTACAAACTGAACAAATAGCCGATTAACTTGTAACGATGTAATATATAGTCAAACATGGTTATCTCGAACTTCGAAACATTTTGTCGCTCCCTGCCAAACTCTACACAAAACATTCGAACACACTTTAATCGAATACTCGGTTATCTCGAAGTTTTCACATGGTCCCGCCGAGTTCGAGATAACGAGGTTCGCCTGTATTTAATTATAATGTGCTGAAGTATAGTGTTTTTCAAACACTCTCATCCAGCTCATCTATCTATATTCTTATACTTATATCTATCAAGGTCGATTTTCCTGACTGGCCTTATCAGTTTCCACATTTAAGGCCCGTTGCTAATGATAAATTTGTATATGTGAGACTAATATTTGTACATCAACAGGCTGGACATTACTCCCGTTACAATGTATATAAAATAACAAAATTTATCTAATCATTGGGGCTGCTACACCTCCCCACCTAATTTTTCACTTATGATCACTTTGGATTTTCCCTGATGCCTCTTTTGCTTTAAAATTAAAGGCTCTTAACATCACTGACGAGTCCTATAAGGGCGAAACAACTGTATGATATAACATCACTGACAAGTCCTAGAAGGACGAAACAGCTGTATGATGTAACATCATAGAAGGACGAAACAGATGTATGATGCAGCATCACTGACGAGTCCTAGAAGGACGAAACAGCTGTATGATGTATCATCACTGACAAGTCCTAGAAGGACGAAACAGATGTATGATGTATCATCACTGACAAGTCCTAGAAGGACGAAACGACAGTATAATGTAGCATCACTGACGAGTCCTAGAAGGACGAAACAGATGTATAATGTATCATCACTGACGAGTCCTAGAAGGACGAAACGACTGTATAATGCAGTTTGATTAATTATTTGGCTTTGTAGTATCTCACCTTAGATTGGTACAAAGTGTTATTCACTTGCGTGTCTTTGGTACAATCTTTAACTTTCTGCGAGTTAAATTTTCACAAGCAAAGGAATGTGATATTGTATGAAAGTGTTACTGTCATATACACATTTACACTAACATACAGATATTGATACTATTGTGCTGAAATCATCGATATCAATCTGTAAAATATATTAACAAATCTAAGATTACTTACTTGAATTGATCAGGACGGGTGTCGTCGATGAAGCAGAAGACGCTTATTCTTCCGGAACACCTGGCTTTGTTCTACTAGTAATAATTCAGGAGTCTACGAGTAGATGTTTATTTTGTTGATATTTTGCGCTAGTTCTATGGAATTTGAGTCTGAATTATGTTGACATCTTGATATTTTCTTTTGTATTTTTTTCAAGTAGTTACAGAATTGGCTTGTCTCTAACAAAAATATTTCCTTTGCGAATTTGTATTTTTATTTTGGAATTTTTTATAATTAGGTATTACCATTGATAGTAATTTTGTTTCTTTTTGTATCAGAAAATTGTTTTGTAATTAATTTCGATTAATTATACTTCGGCATTAGGTACAGAATTCCTATTGGGAGGAGATTGGACGTTGTCTCCGTTCACAATACTTCATTAAATCTATATTTAATTGTATGTCTTTGTATTTCTTCGTAGATTCTTCTTTGTTGTGTTGATATCAATATTCATATCGAAATGTATATTTATTATATATGTATGTATATATATGGAGATATTGATGTTTTCTGCATACGTAATATCATTAAGGCAAATGTTTGATTAATATATACACCACAAAGTGATTTTATACATGACTGTAATCATCATAGTTTTATCGCAAACTGTCGGCTTACATGTGCCTTGGTTTTTATCATTATTACAAACAACAAAAACATTATTTTCACTTGAATTTATAATCATATTGATCATAAATGCGGTAATATGAACCATAATTATGTAAACTACGTCAGTGCTGACAGCGACAATTCTGACATAAATCACAACTAAACACTGCATTGTTCTATTCTATTCATCATTTTGTTGAAGGCTCCACCGGGGATGAATGTTCACCTTGACCTTGTCGGAGAATTCATCAATTTTGACACGTGTTATAAGGATCATTTCGTTACCTGTGATAGTTACTTAGAAGTACGCTATTCCGCAGATCTCGCTAATACTGGTGCAAGGTATTTTGATGAACTAACTGAAACAAATACCGTAATGTTTCGTTCCTGATTATAACAACAATACGACTGTTTATTAGATCAATCAGCCGGGTATAATTTTGTTACAATTCAACTACTTTTAACAAACAGCCGAGGTTTCTAGAAAATGGTATCATCGGTGAAACGAGGACAAAACATGAGAAATGAACAGTAGATTTGACGCTGTACAAAACATTACATATGTACTTACATGTCCTCTCTGTAAATCTTTGATCCGTTCTTATTTCCTCACATCGAACTTCTGTTTAAATTAAGATTCATTTTTACATGTTGATATATTCTTTCTAGTTTTGGCATGAATACTAACATAGTCAAACAACACTTTGCTTTCATTACAGATATTGTTGTTCTTTAAAAGAAGATCCTAGTGCGCTGATTTCCGAAAGCAGTGAAATGGTAGTTCTTCTGCGTGGATACAACAATGGTTCTGTAGGCTTCAAAGCAAATATCTGGGCTGGTACGTAATCTTTTACTGGCAAACTGGGCCTTTCCGTTCCATGATGGCTTTGTGTAGACTTTTTTCTTGAAAAAACCCAATAACTATGAATTTTTTTAACTTCCTTACCAAAAAGTATGTTTTATTATGTAAGTGTTAAATGTAAATAAGTATGTTTTATTATGTAAGTGTTAAATGTGAATAAGTATGTTTTATTATGTAAGTGTTAAATGTAAATAAGTATGTTTTATTATGTAAGTGTTAAATGTAAATAAGTATGTTTTATTATGTAAGTGTTAAATGTAAATAAGTATGTTTTATAATGATAGTAAGTGTTAAATGTAAATAAGTATGTTTTATTATGTAAGTGTTAAATGTAAATAAGTATGTTTTATTATGTAAGTGTTAAATGTATATAAGTATGTTTTATTATGTAAGTGTTAAATGTAAATGTTTAAAGCAGTATCAGACTATAAGCACAGAGAAAAGGTATCGAACATCCTCTCACAAGTGGGTGTTACATTAGATCATAAAAGTGGCATTTCTTATCATTCAATAAAAGAGAAAAATCATGCTGAAACAAATAGATATCAGTATTAGTGAGAGAAAATTACTTATTTTTCCCGATACTCTCATTTTATTAACCTTTTATTGTTACGCCTATTAAAAGTTGATTTCTCAATTAATATGAAGAGAGTGAGTTTTACCGCCCTAATCACAAACCGTATTATCAGCTGCCATGTTTCATATCCGTCTTGGTGAAGATTTTTGAGAAAAATATCCCTATCTCCGCAAATGTACGAAATAGACATCAACGCCTCATTTCCTCTATCATCACAAGGTCCCAGTTTCATTTCCAGGATAAGGCTTCAAGTCTGAATATTATTTATTCCTTAACGTGATTGATGACTCGTGCAGTATAACGAAAAATCCCGAATAGTTCCGATAAAACAATGTTTATAACTGAAGTAAGGGTACAGCACTGACCAATCGCTTTACGTCATATTGATTAATTATGGAGACTTAATTGTTACAGAATCGTGCGGTGGCTGTTCATTATTAAACACCACATCTATGAACGCTAGGCTCCGCCCCTGTTTCAAAAGTGTTCAACAAACATGTAAGAAAACTTGGAAAAAGAAACAGTGGATTCCTTGTCCATGGTTTGCACCTCGATCCAATGGGAAATGTAATAGATACAGGTAAGCACAGGCAATATTTCACAAGTTTGTCGAAACCTGCACGTCAGCTTTTAACTCATTCGAATAGTGGCATGGTTCAGAATATAGATATGTATTCGATGTTTTTTCTCTCTAAAATATAGTTTGCCCTAAAGTTTTTCATTGCACTTTAGTTTGGTTGTTAGATTATGTTAACATGTTCGCATTTTCTCTGTTGTTTTAATCATACATTTTTGCCCACTAATAACTTTTCTTGAGGTTTCGGAAACTATTTGATAAACCAGTTTACCATGTGAGTTTCATCCTCTGTTATAAAGGTATGATGGCAGTAATTGCCAGAGCTCCTTTAAGTGTCGCGAAATCTTGATATGAAATTGTGATATTTTCATTAGTAAAAACTCAAATTCCATAAAATTAAGGAAAAAAGAACGAAAAGAAAGATTTACACGGAGATTCCAGAAAAAGTAAAAGAAGAATAAATCAATGTGTTCTGGAAGAGTAAGCGTCTTCTGCTTCATCGACGACACGTGCCATGTAAACCTTGGTCGTTTCAAGTAAGTAATGTCACGTTCTCAAATGAGAACAAGGTATACAGCAACGGAACCAAGAGGCAAACTAAGGAACACCGAATACTTCCAGCTTCATATCACCCAGAGAATTACATTATTTCTCAATGAGATCATTAGGGTGACACTAAAATTTCCTCAATTGGTTCATCAGCCTGTATTGTTTCATAATAAAATGTTATGATTTTTGTATTTTAAGAATGGTGGATATGTCTCGTGACGACATATGTACTGTCGTTGTACCTTCATGTTGTACTAACTATCACCTGGAGGGTAATTATTGTATAGGTACGTATGTAACCACAAGTGTTGATATTATACTTTGGTATTTATATCGCGGTAATAGAGTTAATGCAACAGGATGTTTAATATGTGGTTATCATTTACATAGTGTCTATGTTTTGACATATAGAGGATGGAATTAAATATATATATATAATAATAAGAATTACAGTTAATTTCCTGACGCTGATTAATGTTGTATCGTTTTGGCATTTGCAGTATGTTAAGGTGATGATTAGATATACCATGATGTAATTCCACATACACATGTGATCGAAATATCTTTCTGTTGGTTCACTTTCATTATTTTCCGACATAGAATAAAATATTTCGGTATTCACTTTTAAATTTGATGTTTTGTCTTACAAATAATGTATATATAATTGAAAGTTAATGTTTGTCTATTAAATAATGCATCGGTAATTTCCTCAATTAAATATAACAAGTTCAACACTTTTAGCTTCATCAGTAGCGAAGGATGATGACGCTATATCTGCAGACATTCCAGCAGCTCCGGGGCCAAGCAATGACGACAACGCTACAAAGCATGGGTCGAATGATATTATGGGATGGTCTACGTGGTCTGCCTGCTCGAAAACTTGCGGGGGTTGTGGAAACAAAACTAGACATAGAGCATGTTCTAATCCAGAAGCATGCGGGTAGGTGATAGCGAAAACAAAGATAAAATCTTGATTAAAGCAAGTCAGTGACAATAAGCGAGTGACAGATATAATTCAAGTAAACATCCAGCAGGTTCACGAAAGGAGCTTAATCTTATTTGTTAACTATATTTGTATTCTTCTGTCTTGTAGTGGAAAGATATAGAGCAAATACAACCACAAATACAACACAAATACCACCACAGACACAACCACAAATACCACAACAAATACCACAACAGATACAACCACAAATACAACCACAAATACCACAACAGATACAACCACAAATACAACCACAAATACCGCAACAAATACAACCAGAAATACCACAACAAATACCACAACAGATACAACCACAAATACCACAACAAATACAACTACAAATACCACAACAAATACCACAACAGATACAACCACAAATACCACAACAAATACAACCACAAATACCACAACAAATACAACCACAAATACCACGACAAATACAACCACAAATACCACAACAAATACAACCACAAATACCACAAATACAACCACTAATACCACAACAAATACAACCACAAATACCACAACAAATACCACAGCAAATACAACCACAAATACATCACAAATACCACCACAGATACAACCACAAATACCACAACAAATACCACAACAGATACAACCACAAATACAACCACAAATACCACAACAAATACCACAACAAATACAACCACAAATACAACCACAAATACCACAACAAATACAACCACAAATACCACAACAAATACAACCACAAATACCACAACAAATACAACCACAAATACAACCACAAATACAACCACAAATACCACAACAAATACCACAGCAAATACAACCACGAATACAACCACAAATACAACCATAAATACAACCACAAATACAACAACAAATACAACCACAAATACAACCACAAATACCACAAAAAATACAACCATAAATACAACCACAAATACCACAACAAATACCGCAACAAATACAACCACAAATACCACAACAAATACAACCACAAATACCACAAATACAACCACAAATACCACAACAAATATCACAACAAATACAACCACAAATACAACCACAAATACCACAACAAATACAACCATAAATACAACCACAAATACAACAACAAATACAACCACAAATACCACAACAAATACAACCACAAATACCACAAATACAACCACAAATACCACAACAAATATCACAACAAATACAACCACAAATACAACTACAAATACCACAACAAATACAAGCATAAATACAACCACAAATACAACAACAAATACAACCACAAATACAACCACAAATACCACAACAAATACCCGACAAATACAACCACAAATACAACCACAAATACAACAACAAATACCGCAACAAATACAACTACAAATACCACAACAAATACAACCACAGATACAGCCATAAATACAACCACAAATACAACCACAAATACAACCACTTATACAACCATAAATACATAGATTATGCTGCCATGAAAAGACAAAAGAAATTAAAAAAGGAAAAACATTGATCATGTCAATCTGGTGAACTCTGATCGTTTTTGATAAATTGATGAATTTTAAATTGCATATCATATCGCATAGGAAGAAACGTTCGCCCGTGTACAATAATCAGATGTTCACAGATGTAGTGAATGCAAACAATAAAATTATGTATTGTCAATTATAGCGGTGATGACAACGAAGAGATTGAGGGATGTGCAGCAACGCCATGCGCAACTCCTATTATGACTACATGTACACGGACAGTAGCGACAAAGGGATTCTGTCCACCTTGGTCAGCTACTACTTGTACAAAGTAAGTATAATCTGCGTGATTGATTATCACAATCTATCAGCATGCATGGTGAAAGTATGTTCAAAAGACAAATTTTGAAGTCTGGGAGGCGACTAGGGAAAGTAAAAAACCAGGTCTAGATAGGGAGGTGCAGCAGCCCCATTCTCAGATAAATTTCATAATGTTTATACATCAGAATTTTTTAGAATAACGTCAAGTACATGTGTACTGAACCTTGCCTCTATTCACGGCAAGCAGTTAAACGCAAAACTTAGGGACTTACAGTCCACCAGCAGTGTCTACAACCTGCTATCTTATAGATTGTACAAAAGTCCACCAGCAGTGTCTACCACCTACTTTCTTAAAGGTTGTACAAAAGTCACACAAGCTTTCCAATTGACATACTTTCTTAACTGCTTGACGATTTCGGATAGTCTATTACTAAATGAAATATAAATATTATCTCCCTTTGTTAGATACTGAAACTCAAAAATTTAACTACGATATATGACATTAGCCTTTCGGCACGAATCTCTGGTGATTTCATTAAGAGTGGATACAAAGACGGGTTTATATTTCTTTGAACGATATGAAGAATTGTACAAAAGACACAAAAACGCTTTTCGATAAATATCTAATGACATGAGTTGTAACAAACAGCAGTTTCGTCCTTGAAGCTAAGGACCTAATGAACCCTGGGATGAGAATGATCAAAAAAAGTTTAAAATGATTGTCAAAAACCTGACAAGGAGTTCAATTTCTCGATGATTAAAAAGATTGCATAGATCGGTGATCGCTAGTATGTCTGGTGGTTTCATAGTTATTATCATTAATTTCATTTCAATAGTCGACGATATTTAAAGAAAGAGACTGTGTTTTCTTTGTATATCCGTATTTTGTTTATCAATAAATATATATAGAATAAAAAGTTTACAAAAAATGCTATCGATCTAAGTGAAAGAAATTTCTATTTAAAGATATCGGACGGAAACCTACACGTGCCCTGATCCCGCCATGATGTGCTGCAAAGGATATGTACTTCAAGGGGGTCTTTGTGTAGCCATCAACACGTAATGGTGACGTTATAGGTAGATGATCACTATAATTGTCACTTAGATGTTTCATTTGTAGAAAGTCCCAATACATAAGTAAAAATCATCTTTGTTTAGAAATATAGACTGCCGTTCTGGATTAAAATATGTTTCCCTTTTTTAAAATTTAATTCCACTATTAAAATTAGGATTATTTTCAATGGTTTAAAGAGTATCTTGTTAGGTACACAAACAGGGACATAAACAAAGTACAAAATTGAATGTCAATATAGTTGATCTGGTATTGAATAATGAAATGAAGCTTTTGCTTGCTTGAAATTTTCTTAGTCAAAGAGTATAAACATTAACATGTAGGCTTATAACGACAATTTTCATTTCGGTTTTATCCCATGCAGTATGTAGATTATGAGGTATGATTTAAACATTCATTGAATGCGTCTGATCTAGTGTGCGTGTTAATGAGTTAATTGTGATGATTCTATCAGTTCCTGTAATAATCTTCCTCTCATGTATGTTATTACAGTATCAACCATACACTTTAATTTCCATGATAACCCATAACTTTCTTTTCATTCTTTCTATTTTTGGGTTGGGTTGGGGTTCTTTCTCTCTAGTTGTTTGTTGGTCAATGTTTTTTTCGAGTTGGACATAAGTTACAAGATTAGAATTATGTTATACTTAGCGTAATTGAGATTTCCATGGTATGAAAATACAAATGCACACATGTTGTGCGAGATGTTCTATGTCATAATTAACTGGTATTTATTTATTCTTGTTGGTTTTTCGAAGACATTGTTGTTGATATTATATTTTCTGATAATTAATGTGATTATATAACAATATATTAGTCCATTAGCATGGCTATAATATATTACCATTTTTTCAATAGAATTCGCATGTTTTTTGAGAGATCTGTATTCCTGTGAAATGTTCATTTTCATTTCTTCCCCTGGGTATTCAACAATGCCTATAAAATCTATTAAAAAACTCAACCACGATAGAAATTTCTTTGCTGTTTAATCACACTAATGAGGAAAAAATTTCGAACAAAATAAGTTGAAAATAATATATTTTTATTTTTTGTTAAGAATTTCAGAGATTACGTCTAAAAACCCTTATTTACGTCAGAAATCATGTGATGCTTTTATCTATAAAATAGTATATGTAACAGATATATACCACTCATTTTTGTCACTAGGGTTTTATTCAGGTTCTGTTACGTATTAAAATGTATTAAATAGTATGCTGATGACTGCTTTCGCTGGTCGAAACTTTGAGTACAATACCCGGTTAACAAGCATAATCAAATGTCTGTCCGAGGAAATCCATCGACTACTGCTATTTATAGAATTTCTGAGATTAATTTGAAAGCGGGCGCGGGTCGTCCATATTCTTTCAATTTTTCTGTTTGTTTTTGAAGAACGTTGTAAATGTCATAATTGTGTTTTAATGTAATTAATGTATTTTTATAATCGGAAATACTGTAAACGTACTTAACCTGACGCAATCAAATTGTAGTACATTGTAACATTTTGTAATTTTTCGCAAAAATTCACTCATTAGAAATAATTGCTCCTTTTTAATTTATGACATGCGACAATGAGCTCCATCGAATTTTAATGCAATACTTTGAGCATATAAGCGCTGAAATTAAAGTACCGCTAAAATTCGTACGTTTACAGTAATCAAATCTTTTTCTTGTTAAAAACTCTGGTAAAATATCAACAATACATTGCTCTGTTGATCCGTTTTCGAATTCTGTGAAGTACAATTTGCTGTTTTTTTATCAACAGTAAGCATGACCCGCAAAATAAATGATGACTTGTATTTTTCGCATGTTAGAATAGCCGTATGTATTTCTAATTCAGGAAATATGAATAACCTTGTAAATGGTGCTTTGATTTTTAGTTTATTCCGAAATAAAACATTGTTACAACTGTAGCTGTTATCGAATTCTTTATTTTCTTGATTCAGTGGAATATTTCATCGCATTTATTGTAAAATATTTAGTTGGGCTTAAATTTCGTAGGTTTCAAAGAATACTTTAATTGTTACTATATAACATTGATCGATAGTTCTCTAGAACTTTACTCGTATTGATTTTAACTATTGATTGATTGGTGGACATATCTATTCGTGGATGCCGACGAGCACAAATCTTCCACTAAAATAATGACGTTGATGTTTACCAAATTTTCATTTGAGAACGTGACATTATTTACAAAAGAACTTAGCGTCGTCGAGGAAGTAAAAGGCGTCAACACTTCCGGTACACCTGGTTTGATTCTCCTTGGTTTTTCTTACGAGTATAAATCTTTCATATCGAATTTGAATTCTGTTGACAAGCTTTCGTTGTTTTGTTTTTCTCTTACAATACTTATATCAATGAGCAGAAAAAGATTGAACCAGTTAGAAAATCAGGGATCCGATTAATGGGAATTTATTCACAAAATTTATCAAATAATGACTGATCAATACAGTCATAATTCAAATTTAGGATTCACAGGAGGTGACATCTCAAAGGAATCGGAAATCTCGATAAAGCTGAGGATCTGAAACATTTCTACTCGAGGGGTTTGAATTTGTTCATTGACAAGACTTCCTAACACTTGCTTGGAAAGAATACAATGTTCAGTGAAGTAGCCACCTGCTAGAAACATCCCGGAAATACCAACATGGCAACATATCATAATTCATACTCACATTCCATAAAACTAGGGCAACAACCACTAGAAAATACCAACATGGCAACTTCAGAAAGATTTACAGAAAGACTCCTGAATACGTACAAGGAGAATATGACCATATGTTTCGGAAGAGTAAGCGTCTTCTGCTTCATCGATGTGATCCGCCATGTAAACTTTGGTCAATCAAGGTAAGTAATGTCACGTTCTCAAATGACAATTATGTTTACATCAACGGATCCAACAGGCAAACTAACGAACATCAAATACGTCCATATTACACAAAGAAACAGAATAGTTCTAATGAGATTACTCTGGCGACCTAAGATCAGTTCTGACAAATCAGATGTTTACCTCTCCATATCAAACCGTAAGTAAATTTCGGAAGATCTATTCAACATGTGTACTCCTTCTCAGAAGTTACAAATGTGTTCCTATATAGGAGATACGTAGGATAAGTATTTTAAAAAGTCTTTCTTGACCTTGACTTATAACCACTAAAATGTATAGACCTTGATGTTTGCTTTGTCAAGGTATAGATTTGATCGTTATCTGTCCAGTAATTCATGATATGTCTGTAAACAAATGTTTCATGCATGCATGAACGGACGCTCACACATACAAAACACACACCCATGGACAAATCCCTCATTAAGTAAATGTGATTAGCGGAAGGATCGTCCTACTGCTGTTGTTTATTGAATCAGGTCAGCAGAAAATACCAGATGGATAGACAATTAAAAAGAAAGAAATGTCTCCTTATCTTAACTGACAAATATACAGGAAAAATTTCGTACTCTTCGCTATTGAGGAGTAAGAATTATGCTACTACAACGCATTTTTTTCAACATGAAAAATCAGATAACGCAATGAAGACAGATAGCATTTGAGAAAGATTACATTTTATTAAAAATTAACATACAGACAGAAAAAGTCAAAGTATTAAACTGAGTCATTTGACATAGAATTTAAAACTAAAAATACAAAGAAAATTGATTAAACTGAGTCATTTGACATAGAATTTAAAACTAAAAATACAAAGAAAATGCATTAAACTAAGTCATTTGACATAGAATTTGAAACTAAAAATACAAAGAAAAAACATTAAACTAAGTCATTTGACATAGAATTTAAAACTAAAAATACAAAGAAAAAACATTAAACTCAGTCATTTGACATAGAATTTAAAACTAAAAATACAAAGAAAATTGATTAAACTAAGTCATTTGACATAGAATTTGAAACTAAAAATACAAAGAAAATGCATTAAACTGAGTCATTTGACATAGAATTTAAAACTAAAAATACAAAGAAAATGCATTAAACTGAGTCATTTGACATAGAATTTAAAACTAAAAATACAAAGAAAATTGATTAAACTAAGTCATTTGACATGGTACGTATATTTCATTTTTCGTGGTTAGACAAGAAAATGATATGTGGAAAAAGATATTCGATAGATTTGAAAACAGAAATGCTATTATGTACAAACAATTTTAGTATACATCTATTTCACTATTAACAAAGATAAGATGTTTATTCAATTTTTAACATATTAGCAAACAGACAGAAAAATGGAGCAAATTCGTTGAAATACTACCTTTTCTGTAGGAATGCCACGGCTTTGTCTTAATTTGGTCAAGGGCAAATATTGTTGTATAAACGATTGATCTCAGCTCCCCTTAAGGCAGGGGCGAATTAAATTATTATAAAATATGAGGTTAAAAATGAATGGGATAGATTTGAACTGATTTAACATTTTTGTTACTATGGTTATAAAACATTCACGTCATACTATGTTATTATAAAAAAAGTTGTTTCGAACCTCTGTTATAGAACTAATCTGTTTGCTTGAATGAGAAATATTAAAAGGATGCAAATTGTTTAATTGTTGGTAATTAAACGGTTCAGTATGACCCTTATTGAATATCAATATTCTAACTTCTTCAAAACAATCAAGCATTGGAATTTTGTACCCTAGAACTTCACAATTTATAAAATGGTTTAATGAAAACAAATCATGAAAAAGGAAAAATAACTATTGAGGGATTATCAACATTGCTAAAAAAACTACAGGCAGCAGATTTTACACAAATCCCAAAAAACAAGAAACAGTACTCTGTGTGAATAAAGATAGATGAAAGTAGCACGATTTCACAGGAAAATCTTAAATTATAACACAAAAATGCAGGCCATAAGCACTGTTTGGTGGATGGGTGGCGCAGTGGAAATAAAGCACTCGCCTTTCACTTAGCCGTCAGCGGTTTGATTCCCGGCACAGAAATAAACGGAGTCACATGCCTGACCACGTGGGTTTTCCCCTTGTACTCCTGTGTGGCTTCCTTCAACTGTAACACCCCTCGCACGCTGCCATCCGTACCAACAAGATCGATTAATATAAGCTTAAAGCTTGTTTCGCATTTACTTCAGGTTAGTAATGTCAATAGAATATAAGGTCATATACATATATATCAACCAGTAGAAGGTTAGAGTGTGACGGTTCAATGACTACACAATAACCTTCATCTTATAACACAACCAGTAGAAGATTAGAGTGTGATGGTTCAATGACTACACAATTACCTTCATCTTATAGCACAACCAGTAGAAGATTAGAGTGTGACGGTTCAATGACTACACAATAACCTTCATCTTATAACACAACCAGTAGAAGATTAGAGTGTGACGGTTCAATGACTACACAATAACCTTCATCAGACAAATGGTCAGTGTGTAAGAGATGGTACATAATCGACCCACTCAGCTGTACTATAATCCTATGTACACCAAAGTCGAAAATAGTGTGACGAGATGGTAAACAATGAGATGGCTCTTAAGTAGAAATGTATTCGTGGTGATATTTTCAAATAGTAAAGTAGAAAAATAATTGACATACATAATGGTGAAATCAGCGATGATTTTTGGGATTCGATAATATCAGGAATTTTCCTTAATCTTATTTTTATCACATAAAAAGTCATGATTTTGCGAATGTGTAGAGACGTATCCGATTGAATTAATAGACATAGAATTGAGTCTATCAATTCGAATGCTCAGCAAGGCCTAATGATATATAAACTTTTGTTATAGTTTCAGATAAATCTTCTATAGTGATATATATATATATAACCTACTTTATTTTAGTATAATGAAAAAATCGGGAGATATAAATAGCATATTTCTTGGTTATATTAAAGACAATTCAATCATGTATCTATTTAAACTTTCAATTTGATAACTGATAGTCTTAATAGGTCTTTCCGTGACTCCTCCTGGGTGTCACTGTGTAACGGTGTAAATCAGGAGTTTCTCACCACTAGTTCATTAGTCGAAGGTCAACCTAAACCAAAAGAGAAATAGAAAATGACCTTTATCACTTCTTTCATATTTTAAGAAACATGTATTAAGTACCTAATGCAGGCCATGTACGTGTATCAGGCTTGAAAGTTTATAATGAAGAAATCGTTGTTGCGCCATTTTGACAAAAAAAATTCATTAATTAATATATGATTGCACTAAATTAATTTTTTTACAGATTTTTAAAACCTTGTGAATGATAAATCAGAATTAGCTTATTTCACGGTTAGCTCAGACGCGCTGGTATGTATTCTGATTTAATAGTACCAAACAAAACTTACAATTGCCAGGAACTAGTCTGACGTCATCGATAGCAGTATCTCCAAACCCTCGATCTGTTGCTATGACAGCAGATATCGTCAGCTGTTCAAAAAAATTGAATATTATTTCATTAAATGTATTTAATTTCCAAAAGGAGAATGGCTATTTTAAGATCTGTCAGCATGAAATTGAGGAAATAAGAACAACACATATGTAAAGGATTTAAGATAAGAAATAACAGCATGTTAAAGACAACTAGGAATTATCTGTTTAGTCATCGAAATTTTAGCTGATTCAAAAAGTCTATAATCGTAAGCTAGAATGATTGAATATTGTCCTCTTTACCTTTTACTCCTCCTAAAATGCCTTCTAGATTAGCACTCGGTGGAAGGCAAATACATAAAACATAACTGAAGAAATCTTTGAAATCATAATATCATTTAATACATTAATGAAAGGGAAAGCAGACAATGGCTTTATGATTATTTAACATAAAATCATGAAAATATGATTTGCAATATTCCTGTTAGAAATTCAGAAATTATTAAAAGAAACCGATATTAAAATACATTTAATTACAGTTCATTTTTTCGAATATATCTAACAAACAGTAGAAAAAATATGATTCCATTAAATATTTGTGGTAATTTTCCAATCTTTTATGTCACATATCACTTAATCATTCTTCGATAGTGTTTTACGGTTAGTCAGTCTGTTCCGTTGTACGATATGAAGCTGGACTTGTTTGATGTTCGTTAGTTTGTCAGTCGGTTCCGATGTTGTATACCTTGTTCTCATTTCAGACCGTAACGTTATTTACTTGGATTGACCAAGGTTTACGTGGAAGGTGTCACTGATGAGGTAGAAGACGCTTACTCTTCTAGACCACCTGGGTTTATTTAACTTGTCCTTATTTAGGAGTCTCCATGTGATATTTTCTTTTGTTCATAGTTTGCACTAAATTTATTGAATTTGAGTGTTGGTTTTTGTTAGGACGACATGTTGATATTTTCTTGCTTTTTATTGATTACCTGAGTAGGACCAGACATGTGAATATCGACACTTCCAGATTACCTGAGTAGGACCAGACATGTGAATATCGACACTTCCATTGTTCCAATGGTTTCCTAGCTCGCCAGTCTCAACGAACATTTCAGATTCCCCGTAATACACATACAGACTACCAGTGCTGTATCCGTACATGTGGTACTTGAATCTCAGACAGCGGTCACCCTCTATCAGACAAAAAACAACAAATGTCAGCTCTCATTACGTTACAAAGGTATTCAGATATAGCGAAAAGTCTTATGGACGGAAATATTCTAAATGCTCCTGATGGGGGCATGTAATGTCAATTGAAATATTGTTAAGTTACCTTCAAAGTTCATAGGATGGGTTGTTAACCTAGCCACGTCGTTTTCCTTTATTAATCCCGATGTTTCCACGTAGGCGTAATGTTTGCCTTCATAGGCCCCTGAAGGACCTGTTGGAGAAGATGCCGTGGGACCCTGGGAGGATAGAAAAAATTACTTCGAGTTTTCTTTTTCAAAAATGATTTATAAACTCAATTGTAAGAAACCCCCGTAATCTGCTCCTCGTGCACACAAAGACACACACACAAATGGCGACTCCAATGTTAATTGGCCACGAAAGAAGTTTTCATTGCATTTTCGAAGATTTATTGTTAGATGTTCGTCATTGCTAAGATATTTATCTAACGATTAAGTAAACTTATAGGAATTAAATCATGATAGACAAACAATCGTTAATTGTTTTTGTTAGGTAGACCGTGTAATACCTCTCTTATTGTCCAATCAAAGCTATCGTCCCGTGCCTGCTGCAGAAAACAAACGCTGTCATCCTCAAAGTTACACGTCAGTTCCGTATTCACTGTAAAGATAATCATAATTTACCTTTATGATAACCGCAATAACCTTAGGTCCATAGATTTATCATAAAACGACAAAATCTCAATGAAATGTAAGTGTAAATAAATGTGTAGTACTGTTTTAAGAATAAGTTATGAACTATGCCAAATTTTCAATTTACATTATTTCATGTAAAAACTTTTCATATTTTTTACCATTCCGCAATGTTAAATATAACGATGATAATATGTAATTTGTACAAGGGAAAGTAAACAAATATGTTGTGACGTACCTGGCACATCTTCACATAAATCTCCACTTACTCCAGATGGACAAGTGCACTGATAGTCCTCTTGTTCGTTTGGATCAGAAATACAAGTTCCTCCATTCAGGCAGGGGCTTGATAAACATGCTAAACAGACAATAACAGTGTGCAGATACAACAATATATTGGATCACCAAGATGACCATAATGAAGCGGAACGGTTCTTAACCATTTATCATTGACATATTTCTTTTCGTCAGAAAAAATCTCAAACAATAATATGGCATCAATTTGATAAATGCAACCATAACGAAGTATTAAACAAATGTACTGAAATAAATAAGCAAAGTCATACACCTGTTTGTCCACGTGACGTGACGTCAGAGATGTTCTGGACATAGGTTTCGAAACCTAGGAGACGACGGAGGGAAATCAAAATTGATGGAAAGAAATATCGAAATGTAGAGAGAGAGGGAGAGAGAAGAGAGGGGAGAGAGAGAGAGATAGAGGGAAGGGAGGAGAGAGAGAGAGAGAGAGAGAGAGAGAGAGAGAGAGAGAGAGAGAGAGAGAGAGAGAGAGAGAGAGAGAATTCTTTGAGGGTTTTGCTAGTGTTTGAAGAGTGGAAGATCCTGCATAATTTCAAAAGAACGGACATCGCATAGTTTCGTGATATTCTCACATGTACAACTGACGAACTGGATCACGTACTTTTCGTGTTTTGCAGTCGAACTCGCAGAGCAGATAGATCGCCGTACCCACCCCCTCGGACGCCTTTATCAGCTGTCATCTGCTATGTTAAGATATATGAGAGAACATGATGTGACAGATAACACTATCTGGATGCTAAGGATGATCCTTTCACGAACGTTCGGAGTAAACTGGACGCCAGAAGGAAACACCAGAAGGAAACAAATGACAAGCGAAGGGATCGGTGTATGAACAAGCGGACCCAATCACCCCGGAACAAACAAAAAAATACATTGCGGGAGTCGGACATTCTCCCAAACTGTAATCAACACGTTGTTCTATTACAATTGCAAATCATTCGGGTCGCGTTACCACGTCGCGACATCTCAAATCAACTGTGGAGTAACTGGCGTAGGGAAACCATACATTGAATTCTAAAGACGACAAATTTGCCGGGGGACTGATTCACAGGAAAAATTTGGCCAAAAGTATCCGACACTTTTCAGAATATTATATAATATTTACGCAGGGTATATACAGACTGTAAGAGAAGGTCCGTTTTACGAAAAACCTCTTGCTGGTGGAAAATTTGGAACACATCCGATTGGAATGAATGAACTGAATGAAATATTGAAAAAAAACGTGCAAAGAAGCAGGATTCGAGGGGATTGTTTTTCAAATCACTCTGGAAAGAGAACATGCGCCACGTCTCTGTTCCAAACTTTTAAGTACAAATTTGATTTTTGTCTAATACAATATTATAAATCAGAAAAATGTGTGCTTGTATATTCTGTCAAATACCCACAAATACACACGTCTGTTTAAAACTTCCCATCAAAATACATACATACATTGTAATAGTAGAACAATGACATTACTTATGTATGTTATTTGTTAACCTGACTATAATGTTATACGCATTGTCTTAATCGTTTTACGACAAACTTGTCTTTTTTTTTAATTTTCGTTACGTTTTGATGAGCAGTTGATGAAGGACAGGACCGACTGCTTTCCGTGTCTACACGAGAAAGTCGGGGGGCAACAAGATGAAATCAGCAGGGCATTAGAATGTGAGAAAAGTGTAGACAAGTAGGTAAAGACCAATACACAAGCAAACAAGGGACGATGGGAATATGGAACCACGTCCAGTATCAGAATCTTAATTGACTCGTGAATTTCAATTCTATGTAATACACGTGCAAACAGCAGTGTATCGCCTAGGTAACGCCTATATTTCTGTACAAGTTTGGCGTATGTGGGAGACTTTTTTAACCAATTGCTACAAAATGCCAACAAAGCAGTGTTTTATTTTAATGAAATTTAATTAAAATGTTTCCCTTGTTTGATGTTTTTGCCACGCCCACTTGTTATATATGGGCCTACCTCCAGACTGAAGGATCGACCAATCAGAAAAGCCGTGTGATATATCGCATGGTATATAAATCGTCTAGAACAGATCAAACAAAAACCAGGACGTGATTGGATAGGTATATATTAATCTATAAACCACTTTATATTTTATACTGCTAAACATTTTAACATTTATAACCTATATCAGCTGTGCATATTAAGAGATAATTTATCACATCTATGATGTCTTATGAAACCATGTTATTTGACTTATTCTAACATCAGGACAACACGAGAATAGATATTAAACTCGTGAAGATTTCTTCTTATATTTCATCCTTAAAAATGAAATAAATCTTGAGACCTGTTTCATGAAAATTGAAAAAACAAAACAATGTAAGCTTCTGCATAGGGTAATATTATTCCAAATAAACGATTTTGTGATTAAACTTTTCATCGGTCGTTTAATCAGATAACGACATTGCTGTCCAACTTACCACGTGATATCCGTTGTTAACTTAGAAACGTTTTAATCTAACAACTTCTGATGACAAATTAATGTCTCTTTTAATGTTTTGTCCAAAACTGACACAAGCTGTCGACGGGAAAATCAAATCAAATTAAGTCTTAGCAAATGAAATGTTACAACTCACCGCAGCTGTCAGAGGTGAAGAGAATGTTGTCAACAGCTACATCGGAGAGGTAGGAAGGTCCCATAATGGCGGTGAACAGTACCTACAACACCGATCTAATGTTTATACAAAAAAGAAGGATTGTATTCAGTTTTTGATGCAGCAAACAGCATTTTGATTGGCTGACACGGCGAACTTTGATAGGCTTCTCCGCATTTTCGAATATCAAAACGCGAAATTCGTAGTTTAAGACTGCTAAAGTAAATGAAAAAATGATAACTATTAATCCGTCGCTTTCCAGATAATGTCAGACTAATAACTTGTTAGGCAGTACATAACAAGATGGCGATGGGTTCCAGGAGACAAGAATCAACAAAACTTGAGCTCGTTTTGAAGGCTACAAAGGAGCGACATCCAACTTCAAACCCATTACAACATACCTTTATGCGACCTCGTTTGATGTAAAAGGATCAAAAAAGACTTTTCGTCATACGGAGTCGCACATTTTAGCGTTCAGTGTTGCTATGACATGTTCCAGGGTGTAGTGAGTAAAAGTGTTTGTAACCGCTCGGATATCAAGGAGGGTTTCAGGAGTACAGAGAGAGAAAGTGATCGTAATCCCTGGAGTATCGAAGATAGTTGGTACAGCGAACGAAAGTAATCGTAATCCCTGGAGTATCGAGGGTGGTTCCAGGGGTACAGCGAACGAAAGTAATCGTAATCCCTGGAGTATCGAGGGTGGTTCCAGGGGTACAGAGAGCGAAAGTTGTCGTAATCCCTGGAGTATCGAGGATGGTTCCAGGGGTACAGAGAGAGAAAGTGATCGTAATCCCTGGAGTATCGAGGATGGTTCCAGGGGTACAGAGAGAGAAAGTGAATGTAACCCCTAAAGTATTGAGGATGGTTCTAGGGTACAGAGAGCGAAAGTGATCGTAATCTCTGGAGTATCGAGGATGGTTCCACGGGTACAGAGAACGAAAGAGATCGTATCCCCTGTGATATTGAGGATGGTTTCAGAGGTACAGAGAGAGAAAGTGATCGTAATCCCTGGAGTATCGAGGATGGTTCCAGACGTACGGAGAGAGAAAGTGATCGTTATCCCTGGAGTATCGAGGATGGTTCCAGGGGTACAGAGAGAAAAAGTGATCGTAACCCCTGGAGTATCGAGGATGGTTCCAGGGGTACAGAGAGAGAAAGTGATCGTAATCCCTGGAGTATCGAGGATGGTTCCAGGGTACAGAGAGAGAAAGTGATCGTAACCCCTGGAGTATCGAGGATCGTACCGGGGGTGTAGAGAGCGACAGTGATCGTAATCCCTGGAGTATCGAGGATGGTTCCAGGGGTACGTGAGCGAAAGAGATTATAACCCCTGGAGTATTGACGATGGTTCCAGGTGTACAGAGAGAGAAAGTGATCGTAATCCCTGGAGTATCGAGGATGGTTCCAGGGGTACAGAGAGAGAAAGCGATCGTAACTCCTGGAGTATGGAGGATAGTTCCAGGGGTACAGAGAAAGTGATCGTAACCTTGGAGTATGGAGGATGGTTCCAGGGGTACAGAGAAAGTGATCGTAACCCCTGTAGTATCGAGGATAGTGTATGTAGTGTACATACTGGTGACTGTGATTAGAACACTTCCTACCATTAGTGTTTTAGTATTTGGTTGTAGTATCGATCACAATATTCCGAGGACGAGGTCGTAAACACAAAAGGAAGACGAATCCAGTGAACCAGTCCTGGAGATCACATCCACGGGCTTCAAGTGTTTATACTTGCCACAGCGAGCCTCGTTTCGCATTTTGATCCCACAGTGTTAAACTATTAACACTGATTTTAAGTTACTGCATCAACTGGTGTGTCAAGGGAAGCTGTTATAGTTGTTTTATAGCAGATAGATATAGTACACAAACCTATATTACGTACAGATGTGGCTTAGCATTGTGTATGTCTACAGACAGGTGAATAGCACATCACTTAATTAGTTACAACAGAGCCAAATGATAAAGTAATAGAGGAGATAATTCTCACCTTGAAATCGTTGTCTTCTTTTAGAGATACAATTCCCTGTCTCCAAGCCTGTCCCTGTTCTCCTGTTTTTAGGAATATGTTGTTTTCTTCGCCATTTGTCTCCTGGGTTGACACGTTTAAAGCTCCTATCCGTTTACCGTACATATGGTAATAGAAGGATAGACAGTACTCGCCGGCTTAAAATGAAACATAAATTTGAACAATTGATTATACGTTTTTCGAAACGTATTGTGTATGCAAACGGATACATACAACTTAAATTTGATTATGATCAAATTGTGAGTCCTCTTTCTTGAATTGAGTTAGATAGAAGGTATGTTTGAAGAAGCAGAAGACGCCTGCCCTTTTGGAATACTTGGTCTTTTTCTCCATGTATTTCACCCGGAGGCTATATGTATATATATTTTTTCAAAAATCTTTTTTGTCCTCGATCCATTATCCTTCCATTAGCATGCCAGTATTTTCTAATTATTTTTGTTTTAGTTTTTAAAGACTTTACGGTTTAAGAACAAAACTATTCTGCCTCTTTTGTTATTTTGATGACACATATACAGAGCTACCTCCCCTCTATATGATTATACTGCAGTAGAATTTCGATCAAGTTAGGTGATACCTATATCGTGCTGACAATCTCTATTGGTCATAAGCGATAAATACAATGCATTAATGTTAGATTGACAATTGATTTATACACACAAGGGTCAGTGTGTTACCTGTGAAAGTTGTCGCCGAAATTAAGACTGCCTTGTCAGATTTGATTTGATTCCCAGCCTCTATATAGGCGTAACGCTCACCCTCCTGTGCACCATCGGGCCCTGTGTTATGTGAAGGCGTTGCCCCCTGGAAAGCAAGTTTCCTATACAATATGGATCATTCTTCAACAATATATATATATATATAATGCATTAATATGCATCTGTGGAAACGAGAGCTGCTACTTTCTTTTCTTTATTTCGTTTGATTGATAATAAATTTACTTCAGAAAATTGTACCAGGACGGATTAATATAATTAAATACTCTGCATTCGCATCTAGTCTAAAATTTACTTTGGGTATGTACAGAACCGTATAAGTTATGTACTTTTACAAATC